TTTGGGAGGCCGAGGCAGGTGGATCACGAGGTCAAGAGATCGAGACCATCCTGGTCAACGTGGTGAAACCCCGTCTCTACTAAAAATACAAAAAAAAAAAAAAAAAAAAAAAAAAAAAAAAAATCTAGACTGTTGAAACTTCCAGATTCTGGAAGAATAACTTTGTTACTTGACATTATACTATTCCTGGTAAAGTAATGTTGAAGCATTTCTTATTACAGCCACAAAAGAACATGAAGTCCTAGAAAAAAAGACCTTAAATGACAGATGACAAAATATTTTATAGTTTCATGTGAGTGTTGAGAGTTCACAATGTATTTCATAACCAAATTTATTAAGTTAGAATATTTGGTCTTAATTTGGTTACAGCTCTGCCCACTAGATGCCGCCCTGGGTAAAAGCTTGTGGACTGTTCCACATTAAATTTATTTCTTTGTCTTTGAACATGTTCACAAACATTTGCTTTGAGTTGAAAAGCTGACATAAAAGGCCTCAATCAGGAAATGACTTTTATTACAAAATCTGAAGGAAATGCCCGCCCCCCACCAGATTTGCTGTTTGAAAGAATAAAATGTGTATGCAATTTGTAGTTCCGTTTTTCCCTCTTGCTGAGCATTTCTGCGGTGCCTACAATATAGTTCTTAAGGATTCAAGTACGTTTAATGATCTGGGGCGGTGGGGGAAGGAAGCTACTTCTTTTTCTCCCCTGCAACTGAGCCCTAGCCCTGAAATTCTCAATCTTTTAGAATATTTAAGTATTCCAGTTTGCTTCATACTTTGATTTTTCTGATTCAGCAGTCATTTATTCAACATTTATTGGGTATTTATTATATGTCAGGCACTGCACCAATGAGGAAACCTGAGGCTGAGAGAGGATAAGTACGTAGCACGTTTGACACGGACAGCAAGAGAACTGCTGTGTGCCAGGCATCATCTTACATTATCTCATTCTATCATGAGCAGAGTCCTGACCTTTGGCCTCCTAGAACAGTGCCTTTCCATGGTGTCATACTGTGTACAGTAGGTTTCTAATACCATGTCATTCGTCTATGTACACATTTATACACACATTTGTAGTTGTGGGCCTCCATGATATCCTGTAAAATGAAATACCAAAAATAATATTGAGAAAGGCATTTTTATTTTTTAAAACATATGGGTGTCATAGGAATCCATCTCATTTTCCCATGTAGAGAAAACCATGACAGTTCTTTTCCCCACTTCGAATCCTGTTTTTCTTTCTAGAAACAACTGCTGTTAAAACTTGGGTCTGCATTTTTCCCTGCCCTTTTGTATTAGTGGTGCAGTTGGATTTTGTGACCTTGGAGCCTCGCGGGTCTTTGGAGAAGCACAGAGGCTGAGTCCTGTCTAGTGGCGGCTCTGCAGGGAATGTTTACCCTGTGCCAAGGGCTTTGTGTACATGATTCCATTTCTTCTCAGTATACTTCTGTGAAGTAGGCATTCCTGTCTTTCACAGCAGTTAATTTAAGTAACTTGTCCTACGCCATGGCTGTGGATCAGGGATTCCTGCCCATTCCTGTCTGCATCCAAGGCCTGTGACTGAACTGACACACCAGGGATGTTAGAAACAGTCTGTTAAGCTGTCCAAAGTCACTTTAATACATTCATTGTTCATCCCTAGGGGGAAAGGAAGGAGTGAGCTCTTGGACAGTTTCAGATTTGTACTAAATTTTCCTATAGGATTTTCAACATAGAAAATGTTTATGAAGATGTGTATAGGCAAGCCTAAGCATCACTGAGCAAAGATGGTTTATATTTTTAAATCCAGTTTTACACAAGAATAACAACCATTTTCTTTCTGAGACGTAGTCCCTGACTTTCCAAGTGTAAATAATTCACATTTCATCAAAATGATTTTTGCTATATCTGCATAGTAGTTGTAATATTTTCTTTTAAATTGGCTCACTTTTACATTGGCTCATGTACTTCAACCTTGTTATAGGAATAATATTTGTAAAAATTATGAGCTTCATTAACTTGTTATATTTTTCTAACACATTAAAATAAACACTAAATATTAACATTAAAAAAAAGTTTCTGGCAGGCACAGTGACTCATGCCTGTGATCCCAGCACTTTGGGAGGCTGAGGTGGGCAGATCGCTTGAGACTAGGAGTTTGAGACCAGCCTAGCCAACATGACAAAACCCCGTCTCTACTAAAAATACAAAAATTAGTCGGACATGGTAGTGGACACCTGTAATCCCAGCTACTTGGGAGGCTGAGGCAGGAGAATCACTTGAACCTGGGAGGTGGAGACTGCAGCAAGCCGAGATTGCACTACCGCACTCCAGCCTGTCTCAAAAAAAAAAAAAAAAGTTTCTTACTGTGTACTAACTACGGCCATTGAAGTTAGCTTAATTTAAATTGCTTCTTGTCACTATCCCTTATTATTCATTGCCATGAGAAAACACAAGGTCACTCAGATACACAGCTGCATTGCCACATGTCTATGGAGTCTTTTTCTTTTACACAGAAAAGACTAGTTTCAGTTGAGAGTAGATTGCTTCAAGTCAATTGCATTTCCTAATTAATCAATTACAGTATACCTAAATCTTGCTGTAAAGCCTCTTTATGCTGTGGGGAAAACGCTTATCCCGAGTGTGCGTGCCACCATTCTTCACCTCAGCAGCCATAGCATATCAGGGAGCTGTTTTCTGCTGTGCCTGGATGTGGCTTCAGGATCTTTTTTTTTTTGAGACGGAGTTTCACTCATGTTACCCAGGCTGGAGTGCAATGGCGCGATCTCGGCTCACCGCAACCTCCGCCTCCTGGGTTCAGGCAATTCTCCTGCCTCAGCCTCCTGAGTAGCTGGGATTACAGGCATGCACCACCATGCCCAGCTAATTTTTTGTATTTTTAGTAGAGACGAGGTTTCACCATGTTGACCAGGATGGTCTCGATCTCTTGACCTCGTGATCCACCCGCCTCGGCCTCCCAAAGTGCTGGGATTACAGCCTTGAGCCACCGCGCCCGGCCTCTCAGGATCTTTCTTAAGAAAGCATGGCAAGAAGCACTAGAGCTGACATTGACATGAAATGAATTATTTTTCCATTTCAGTTGGTGTGTACCATTTTGTTTTTATAAATGAAATATAGGCCAACTAGTCCTTGAAAACCAGTTGTAGAAGAGTATAATGAACAATATTGCCTAACACTGGACTACAGTACAATAATCTGATGGTACATCAGTTTTTGTGTTGCATTTTAAATGCTTTTTCAAAAAAGTTAGCATTAATATACATGATAATAGTTTATCCTTGGTAATGATTTGTCATTTATCATCATTGTTGATATTTTTTGAGTGCTTACTCTGTGCCAGGCATCATACTTGCATTTTCTCATTATATCATTTATTATTAGACTTGATGCATCTAAAAGTCAAGTGAGTTTTTAATTTTATAACTTCTGCCTACATTGCTGGTTTCTGAGGGTGACAAGCATCTTTCTCTTTGATGGTTGGGTACTAAGGAATTTATTTGTTATAAGAGTTTCAGGCATGTGCACAGAAGTTAAGTGATACAGTAAAAGAACACTGGGCAGAGTGCCAGTCACTCGAATTTTGTTCTCAGTCCTACTGTTCTGCCACAAGTCAATATGGATTTAGCAAGGGTTACAATGGTAGTCAAAATAGAAAGTCATGAAGTACCAAGGAAGGAGAGAAAGTTTCTGACTAGAGTCATTAGGAATATTTTTATGGAAGAGAAGTCATTTAAGTAGGGCCTTAGGGAAGGGCAGCAAGTGGGGGTGGGAGTGCATTTCAGGTAACGTAGGGAAACATAAGGTTTAGGGAATGGCTCGGGCATCATGGGAGATTAGATTGGAAAGGTAAATGGGAAACTGGCTTAGGAAGGGCCCAAGTACAGGTTATACGATCTCCACATGAGAAATTTACTTTAGCTCTGCATGATGGCTAGGACTCGCTGTGAGAGAAGTATTAATGTTAAATCCATCTGCTGTGGGGCTGAGATTGATGTGTGTTTATTTTTGGCTTATTCTTTTTGTTTGTATAGTTTTTATTATTATTACTACATTTACTTCAGCTCACATCAGGCCTATTCTTAACTTGCTGATATGTGGAGAGAATATAAATTGCCCTTAGAAGTTGACTTACAGCATTTCTTTTTGTTTTAAACTTAATTGCTTTTCCATATTCATCTATTTTTTATGTACTTTGCAGTGCTCCCAAGAAGATATTGCTGATAAACTTGGTGTGGATATCTCTGCAACAAAGGCAGTCCACATAAGTAATCCTAAAACAGCTGAATTTCAGGTAAGAATTTTAAGTAGATGAGAATTCAGGTAAAAACTGAGAGGCAGTACCTGAGTTAGGAAAAGTCTCTTCAGTTATTATACCTGAGATGGTGAAATCTTAGAGCTTTTTAATAATATCTTCTTGGGTAAGTTTATAGTTGGTTACTACATGCTTTGCTGCCAAAAATTCTTAAAACTTTAAAAAACAATCTTTTCTTGATTAACTTTATGCTTGGTTCTTACTTGCTTTGTATTATCTGGCCCTGTCTCTTTTGTCTGAACTTTCCATTTCATAATTGATTTTATTTAATACTCTTTTCAGATTTCATCTTTTTTTTTTTTAAATTTTTGAGATGGAGTCTCACTCTGTTGCTCAGGCTGGAGTGCAGTGGCATGATCTCGACTGACTGCAGCCTTTGCCTCCTGGGTTCAAGTGATTCTCCTGCATCAGCCTTCCAAGTAGTTGGGATTAGAGGTGTACACCACCGCGCTTGGCTGATTTTGGTCTTTTTAGTAGAGACGGGGTTTCACCATATTGGCGAGGCTGGTCCTGAAGTTCTGGCCTCAGTGATCCACCTGCCTTTGCCTCCCAAGGTGCTGGGATTATAGGAATGAGCTACTGCGTCCAGCCAGATTTCATCTCTTTTCCATTCATTTGTAATAAATAAATCAGAACCTCTTCCCAGATCCTTTGTAAGTCATTGACTTTGAAATTGCCCATTACATCAGGTCTTGACTGTGCTGCTTATGTCTTTTATTGTAATTGTCTAAGTTTATTGGCAGTTTCATTTAGAGTTTAGGAATATTTAAATGATAATGATACTACTTTAATATTAAGTATTAAGTGATCTGTGTTATAGATTAGGATAATAACTATAAGAGGAGCATATTTTAAGATGATAACAGCTTTGCTTATTAATAACTTTAGTTATCTCTCTTTTATACTAATAAGCTCTTATTCTCTTTCTCTTGCATATGCAAGCCTGTATGTTTTTTAACCCAGACTTTAGAGAAAATCATGTCTTCTAGAATCAAGGGGAAATATTAGAATTCGAAGGTTATATTTTAAAGAAGGTTAATGCTGTTATAAATAACACCTGAATTCTGATTTGAAATAGTTTCTTTGTATTTTGGTTTTTACTTCTGCAAAAATAAGGGACTGAGTTAGTTCTAAAAATCTAAGAGTTCGGCAGTGTTTAAATCTAAATTTAAAAATTCTAAATTTTATCTATAGAACTATCTACTAATGTAGATTAGAGCTAAAGAACTAATTGATAATATATATCAAATAAATGAATTCTTTATATTTAGGGTCAGAAGTTTGAAAAATCCTTATACTAATTTTGGAAGGATTGTAATAATGAATTGTTATATTTTGTATTCTGAGGTCTAGCCTTCTTACTGCTTTTAAAATTTGCCCATGGTGTTCTTTTTAATAAGAGGTATTCAAATTTATTTGCATAGAATGATTTTTAGTAAATCTTAATGGATTTTTGTTTATTCCAAATGCACCATTTTCTCCCAGTTATCAAGCTTGATAGATTACTTTTTTTAAACTTTTATTTTTATTTGTTTATTTTTTGAGACAGAGCCTTGCTCTTTTGCCCAAGCCGAAGTGTAGTGGTACAATCTTCGCTCACTGCAACCTCCACCTCCTGGGTTCAGTTGATTCTCACGCCTCAGCCTCTCGGGTAGCTGGAATTACAGGCATGTGCTACCATAACTGGCTAATTTTTGTATTTTAATAGATGGGGTTTTACCATGTTGACCAGGCAGGTCTCGGACTCCCGGCCTCAAGTGATCACCCCCTTGCCCTTCCAGAGTGCTGGGATGACATGCGTGAGCCACCTCGCCTGGCCTTTTTTCAGCTTTTATTTTAGATTCAGTTAGTACATGTGGAGGTCTGTTACAAAGGTATATTGCATGAGGTTGAGGTTTGGAGTCCTATTGAACCCATCACCCAGGAAGTGAGCCTAGTACCCGATAGGTAGTTTTTCAGCCCTTATCCCCACCTCCCTCTCTGCCTTGTATTCTCTAGTGAGGCTTGATAGATTTCTTAAGATGTGGTAACTGCTGTGATCTTCAGGATTTATATCCTGTCTTATCTATTTTATATAAGTAGAAGGAAAACAATCAGAAATGCATTAAATGTCACTATAAATAGCTGTGGCTTAGCACACTTAAGGATCAACTTTTCTGCATAAAATACCTTAAAGATGAGAGAGGGTGTCTGTCTTTTGACCTAACAGATTCTATATTTTACCCTGCTTTGCCAACAGGCGAGTCCTACCATTACTAATTTGGTTAAGAGGTTTATATTTATTTTTGGTTAAGTTAAATGTGAAGTTCTTCATGGGCCTGTAACTCAGTTTCTTGTCTAAGCCTATCCTTTCTCCTGCATAATTCTTAACTTTGGGCCCTTTTCTCATAGTAAATATGTTAGAGAATGGACAAGATAAAAATATAACTTAGCTAAAATATGTAAAACTTTATTATAGTAAAAAAATTTACAGAATATTGCCAAACCCCTTCCGAATTAACAGTAATATTCCTTAATCTCACATATCCAGTTATTGTTTTAGTTTTTCCAATTGTCAATTTTTTTTTAACAGTTTGAGTTGGGATTCAAATGTGATTCATACATTGACAGTGATTTCTGTGCTTTTCATGTCCCTGTTAATCTGCAAGTTGCACCTCCCATCCTTCCCTCTTTCTTTCTTTTCCTTTTAGTTTGTTTATTGAAGACACTGAGTCATTTGTCCTACAGAATTCTCACATTTAGGATTTGCTGAATATATTCCACTGGCCCCCTAAATTTCCAGTAAATTAGTAGTTGGATACAGAAGCTTGATCAGATTCAGGTTTAATTTCTTGTATTGCTGTAGGTTTTTAAATATGCAAATAAGGCATATCTATAAAATACACTGATACAATTAAGAAAAGTTTTCTATAAAAGTAGTTTCTTATATTTTACTAAGTTAAATTTCCTTGTAACTTTTAACATTGTAGTTTTGTTTCTGTGAATGTTTTGGGCACTTGCCCTCCAATGGGGAAAATGAACAATATAAGAAGCACCAAGTTGAAGACGAATAGCAGCTTGTTGGTATAGTAAGTGTGATGGGAAAGATGTTCCCTTTTTCCTTCAAAGCACAGTCTAGCAATTCCATTTAGGGTCTTATGTATAAGAGCTAAGAGGTTCTGTGTTTTAGCTTGGGTGTTAAGGGCAAACCTCTGTAGAAGGAAACAGTTGAGCAGACACTTGAAGGAAGGAAGGAGGCCACATGTGAACCTAGAGGAAGAATGTATGAGCAGGGTAAGCACGGAGGCTCCAAGATGGAAACCTACTTGCTGAGCTGTGTGGCCTCCAATGTGGCTGGAGTGCAGTAAGCCCACGGGAGCAGCAGGGGTTGAGGGTAGAGAGGGAGGCAGGGCACATCACACAGGGCCCTAGGTAGGCCGTGGATTTTATTCAAAATTTAATGGAAACGTGTTGAAGATTTTTGACCGGGGGAGATGCATGATCTGTTTTCTGTCTTAAAGGACCACACTGTATGAATAGGCTGTAGGTGGCAGGAGTGGAAGCACAGAAGCCAGTTTAAGAAGGTTATGCAATAGTCTGGGCAAAAGATAATAGTGCTTGGGAGCACTGCAAAGCCTAAACTCTCACCAATAATGTTATGCTGCTGCTTATAAAACCCTTCTGGTAACATGTGTTGGAAGCTAATATGTTTCATATAGCTTATAGGGAGAAATTTATTTCACAGACAAAGCAGGAAAGTTTTGCTTTTTTTAATGTACCAGGATACACATTTCTTAGGAATAGTAAGAATGAAATGACTGTACATAATTTCACATTTGTTTTAGTCAATGAAAAGTTTAGAGTTATTATTACAGCCTACCCATAGCAGCTGTATATATTTTTTAGCACCTACATATTTATATTCTGTTTTCCTCATTGTGATGATATTTGAATTGCATTTATATTTTTCCTGGTCCTAATTTTGATTAATGCATATTTAATATATTTATGGTTTTATTTATCTGTTTAGAGACAGGGTCTCTATTGCCTAGGTTGGAGTACAGTGGTATGATCATAGCCTTGAACTCCTGGGCTCAGGCAGTCCCCCACCTCAGCTTCCTGGGAACTAAAACTACAGACATGTATCCATACCCAGCTAATTTTTAAATTTGTAGAGGTGATATTTCGCTATGTTGCCCAGGCTGGTCTCAAACTCCTAGGTTCAAGTGATCCTACTACCTCGGTCTCCCAAAGCATTGGGACTACAGGTGTGAGCCATGGTGCCTGACCCACATTTAATCTATTTAAACATTTGTATTTCTTGTAGTTTGTGAAATGAGGCAGACTATGAAAACTTGCATACATGTGTTTGAAATCTTGAGAGCAAACTTTAATTTTTAAGATTATAATCAATTAGCTGGGTGCAGTGGTATGTACCTGTAGTTCCAGCTACTTGGGAGGCTGAGGCAAGAGATCACTAGAGCCCAGGCATTTGAGGCTGTCGTGAGCTCTGACTGTGCCCATTGCACTCCATCCTGTACAAAAGAGTGAGACTGTGTCTCTAATACAAGAGAAAATGAAATAAATAAATAAAGTGTTAATGAATAAAATAACCAATCCTTAGACATGAGCAAACATATTTAAGTTATATTTGTTTCTCATTTATTTTTAAATCAAATTTATGATTTTGCATTTTGTAAATTTGGAAGCGAGAATGTTTTCAGTTCCTTTCAGTTCAACTTCAGTGTCCTGGAATTGAAAATTGAAAGTGACTTGGATATTTTAGGGCATCGCATTTTCCGGAAGTGCCTTCCTATGAAGCCATATAGTCTTTCTGCCATAGTCTTTGTCCTTAATCAAGTCTGTTTATTTGGGTCCTATTTGGTCAGTGCAATTTCATGTCTTTTCCTGTAGGTGGCACGCACTACCCTTCTTCCTGGCCTCCTGAAGACCATAGCAGCAAATCGTAAGATGCCCCTTCCTCTGAAACTGTTTGAAATCTCTGACATTGTAATAAAAGATTCTAATACAGGTAAGAATAAATCACCTTTGATTTGATTTGTGTATTTAAAGCACTTTTTTCATTATGAAAACCTTAACTATATATAAAAGAAAAAATAGTATAATTAGCTCCTGCGTACCCAGCACCCACCTTCAACAGTTACCAACACATGGACAGGATTGTTTCATCTATACTACTATTAACTTGCCATATTATTTTAATATGAATCATAGACATTGTATCATTTCATCAGCAAACACTTTAGTATATATATATTTTGGACACAGTTTCACTCTGTCACCCAGGCTGCAGTGCAGTGGCGTGATCTCGGCTCATGGCAACTTCTGCCTTCCGGGTTCAAATGATTCTCATGCTTCAGCCTCCTGAATAGCTGGGATTAAAGGCATGTGCCACCACATCCGGCTAATTTTTGTGTTTTTAGTACAGATGGTGTTTCAACCATGTTGGCTAGGCTGGTCACGAACTCCTGACCTCAGGTGATCCGCCTGCCTTGGCCTCCCAACCTGCTGGGATTACAGGTGTGAGTCACCACACCCAGCCACTTTAGTATGTGTTTCTAAAAGATAAGCGCTACCACTTTAGTTTTATTTGTTTTATAAATTTAATTTTTATGATTAATTTATTTGAATCAGAATTCAAGATCTAGCTATTCGGTTGCTATAGCTCTCATTTCTTTTAATGGAAAGCATTTTTAAACAAAGGATTTAGTAAATAAGATTTCTATTAAAATCTCACTTGACAAGCACTGTGGAACATTTTCTTTTTCGCTGTTGTTTTGTTTTTTTGTTTGTCTGTCTTTTTTATCTTGGAACATTCTCTTATATGACGTGATTTATATGCATATTGTCTTAACATACTTGATATCGTGTCATTCTAGTTTCGCAGTGACTGTCCACAATTACCATTGTACCAGTGACTGCGAATGTGTTTTACCAGTTTTTGTTATTTTTGAGTAAGCCCTGGACTTGTTAGTACAGTAGCTTGCTTGGTCCAACACTTGGAATGTGGTGGTTATTTAATGAGTATATATTTAGTAAATACCTCCACTTGATTGCCAAGGAATTCAGTCTGGTTCAGACTCCACATCTCCAGTCTCTGATACAAATCTGACTGTTTGAAGCTGTATGTGCATTGGTCCCTTGGGGAGCAGTACCTTAAGTGACTCAATTGCTGTGTTTCCTTGGCTCTTGAATTTAACAGATCAATTCCTAGCAGCATTTCTGCAGCGATGCTTACTCTAGACTGTACAGAATTCACTGTGTTCTTTTGCACCAGCTGACAGAAACAGAGACCTTATTCTCAATTTCTTCTGAAGAGGATAATGCACATCATTCTTAACTTCCCAAAGTAGTCACGACTATTGACTGTAAATCAACCTATCGAGGAAATACAGAGATATGACCAGAGGTAGTATTGTCCATGGCATACTCTCCAGCCAAGGCGGGATTCCATCTGTTCCCCAGTATTGTCCCATTTAATGGATTGGAAAACTAAAACAGAAAGTGGTAATTTGCCCAGGGCTGCATAAAATATTGAACTTGCAGCTGGAGCCATAGTACAGGTCTAGTCATACATCCTTAGAGAATGCAAGTAGAGTCTGGCAAGAAGGGTAGTGCGTGCCACCTACAGGAAAACTCCTGTCGCCAGACTGGAGTGGCACGCACTACCCTTCTTCCTGGCCTCCTGGAGTGACCTCGGCTCACTGCAACCTCCACCTCCCGGGTTCAAGTGATTCTCCTGCCACTGCCACCTGAGTAGCTGGGACTGCAGGCACACGCCACCACACCCAGCTAGTTTTTGTATTTTTAGTAGGTTTCACCATGCCAGTCAGGATGGTCTTGATCTCTTGACATTGTGATCCGCCCACCTCAGCCTCCCAAAGTGCTGGGATTACAGGTGTGAGCCACTGTGCGTGGCCGAAAGTTCGTTTTTAATATCAATATGTAGAATTTTCTTTAGATAGTAAATTTACTATAATAGAAATCAGAAACACTTTTAGTGCCAGCTGCAAATAGTTTTGAGTGCCTTAAATCCTCCATTGGTACAGATAACTGAGAATTTGATATAATTCCTATGTCGAATTTTTCTGTTAGCCTTGACTTGTTTCCATTCATCCTATTTCTTTGAGTTTTATATTCTTTTGATCCTTGATGATCTGTTCATATTTTGAAATATATGGCTATGTTTATAAATACAGGATTAGGTTAATTACACTAGGTTTCTTCAAAAGTTTTGTAATACTGTTTCAGCAGTAGGCCTCTTCCCTAATTGCCAGGGCTCCCTAAGGGCTGTGCACAGTTCTGTGGGGCTGGGCATGCTCATAGCCAGGCAGAAGGTACAGGTGAGGAAGCTGGGGTTGTTGTAGGGATGGGGCACTTGACTGTATTTTAGTCCTGGGTAGCGGTGCCTTTGCTATATTTGTTTTAATTTGTGTTTGTTGGAAAGGCCCAGGCATAGACTGTCCTCTGCTTCTCTTTCTGGCCCCAAGGCCTGTGCTTACAATGACGTTCCTATTGAAAGAGCTGTTTTTAAATGCTAGTGCTATAGGCCATCTTCTAACCAATTACCTAGGTGGCCAGGCTTGTTGGCTCATGCCTGTGATCCCAGCGCTTTGGGGGGCCAAGGCGGGAGGATCTTTTGAGCCCAGAAGGTTGAGGCTGCAGTAAGCTATGTTCATACCAACTGTACTGTAGCCTGGGCGACAGAGTAAGGCCCTGTCTCCAAAACAAAACAAAACAAAAGGCAAATTACTGAGGTGATTATTCCAGAAACTCAGTTCGTATACTTTTTAGATTTGCGTTTCTGTGGTACTTTGTTTCATCGGGAAGGATAGTTCCAATTTCTGTAGGAAACCTCTTTTATATATCTTTAGTTATAACTGCTCTGTTTTCTTCATTGATTCATTTCTGATATTACTTTTGCCTATTGATTTGCAACATTCTGCTTTATTCTTTTTTTAAAAAAAATTTTCATCATCAATGGGACCTAAGAAATGAAGGGAGGTAAATGTGCTTGGTAAGTCTGCCATCTTGAAAACATAGTTTATTTGGAGTATGTTTTCTGTTTAGATAGGCCTGGATTTTATTTCGTAACAAAATGAGCTTCTCTGATGGAGTATTTTAAATACGTACATGCAAATTCCCTACTTGTTGCCTGGTGTACATAGAGGACTACAGGGAAGGCAGCAAAGCACCATAGTTCCATAGAAAGACTGCATACAATCAGAGTGCTTGGCTTGGAGTCATGGTTCTGCCTTTACCAGCTGCTTAACTTCAGACTATTTATTCTCTCTATGGCTTAACTTCCTCATCTATACAGTGGGAATAATGATAGCACTTATTTCATTGATGTGTTATAAGGATTAAATGTAATTGCAGTTTGAAAAGTTCTAGCCACATAATAAGAACTGTTGGTGTTTTCTCTGGAGGATCGCTTGAGTCCAGGAGTTCTGGGCTGTAGTGTGCTATGCTGATCAGGTGTCCACACTAAGTTTGGCATCAATTTGGTGACCTCCTGGGAGCGGGGGACCACGAGGTTGCCTAAGGAGGGGTGAACCAGCGCAGGTTGGAAACAGAGCAGGTCAAAACTCCCATGCTGATCAGTAGTGGGATCGAGCTTCTGAAAAGCCACTGCACTCCAGCCGGGGCAACACAGCAAGACCCCACCTCTTAAAAAATTTTCTTTAAAAATAATAAAATAAAAATAAAAGAAATTTACAGTTCCTAAGCTCAGATACCTTAGCATCCTGGTTTATGGGAATTTTTTACATGAATGACTTAGCTGTCCATTAAAGGGCTGATGTCACCTTGCTGAGGCACTTGGGGCCAATTTTTATCCTAACTTTTGACTTAATTGGTTCTGTTATGCCCTGTTTTTGTTTTTTTTTGTGTGTGTGTGAGATGGAGTCTTGCTCTGTTTCCTAGGCAGGGCTGGCAGTGGTGCGATCCCGGCTCACTGCAACCTCTGCCTCCCAGGTTCAAGCGATTCTCCTGCCTCAGCCTCCTGAGTAGCTGGGATTATAGGCACGCACCACCACGCTTGGCTAATTTTTGTATTTTTAGTAGAGACG